CACCGATTTCTGCCTAGCGAGTCGGTCTTCCGTCTCTTGTTTCTGCTTTTGGTAAATAGCAATTGTATTTCCATTGCTCGTGTGAATTCACGAGCTCGGCGTTGTTCAATTTTTTGGCACACAAAGTGGTTTAATGCTTGAAGGACCGTTCGGAATTGAAAATCGATGTTACGAATACATTATTTACAGATAAAAATAATACAAATATATCATGATTTGATTAATACAATTAGTACTTAATTGGTCTCTTCAAACATTGCAAGTCACCGAGCAATTTAGCTCACATGTGGTGTTAGAATTTTTGATTTCATTTCTACCACGAAGAACGTGAAACCGCAATGTTAACGCAGCGCGATAAAATAAAACTAAGAATCAAAGTTTACGTTGAGAAATTAATTTGATATTTAGAAAAGAAAGAGCGACTGCACGTCTCTAACAGTTGCCTACAAAAATATAAAGTAATTTCGTAGTTCTAACTAATCGAGGATAATTACTCTCGCGCAAGTATTTCAAAACGACGAAACTTACTTCGAAGTTCATTTAAAATAAAACGAAAAACACATCGTGTGAAAAAAAAAAGGAGAATAGAATCACTCAGATCGCAAAATAATGAAAGAGATTCATTTGAAAAATTCTCTCGTCATCATCAGTTTGGCCCTTCAAGCATTGCGAAACAATCGAATCATTCTCGTCCAAGGTAAATTAAAAAAATAACCTTTCACAAAGGTTTCCTTAGAAGGCTATTCGGAGCATCGTAAGACTATGAATGAAGATAACGCGAGGTGGTTTTTTCGATTCAGGCAGAAACGGTTCGCGACAGAAAATCTTACCGATTCGTCGGTTGGGGCTTGACGATATTTCAGTATCCTTTGCCTCGTGTCCTGCGCCACGAAGGCGCATTCCCGATAACAGCCGCAAAGGGAGTCTGCAGTTTCGCAGGTCTCTGCTGCGACCGATCGTAAAGAAACTTTCATTCGCCCATGAAAAAAAAAAAAAAGAGAAAAGAAAAGAATATCACGAACGTGGCTTCGGTTATTATTCTCGTCTCGTTCTTTTTCCACGTCGTTTTCGGAACGCCACGACGCATAAAATTGTCGGGAAAAAATAGAGGCAGAGCAAAACTCTATCGTTCCTTATCGTTGCTCTTCGTTCATCCTTTATTTATATCACTTCCCTTGCGTTTATTCGGTTTCTTGTTTATTATTCATTCCTCTGTTGAAATTTTGTAATCGAGGTTGGGTTTCTCTCAGGTTCCTTCGTTCATTCGAAACGCGAATTTTCTTGTCGAAAACGGACAGGACAGGCTTCGTAGTGGATCGACGCACGATTTTTTAATCTATTTTATTTAATTCGTCTCTCGGAGAACTTAGAGAGAGAGAGAAAACTTAATGCTCAAACGCATCAAGTTTCGAACTGCGTCGTGTAGATTTCTACAGACAGGAGCTCTAAGAAAGATCTTCAACTTGGAGTTCAGAAACTCTAAATAAGAAACATCTTCAATTTAGAATTTAGAATTCTGTGCAAGAAGAAAGTTCTTAGGCTCGTCTAGATTTCTAACATGAGCAATTCTCAATTTCTGAAGTACTGAAGTAGAATACATCGAGATAAATTCAATCTCATTCAAAGTAGAATCTCTGCGTGACGTTTCTTAGCCTAGCTTCTGCTAGCAGAGTAAAATGTTGAGTAAGCATTTAATTGCCTTAGAAAAAGTAGAATATCCCTTGAAGTTTTCTTCTTCACGGATACAAACGTGTATTGTCTTCAAGTACAAAGAAAAAAAAAAAAAAAAAAAAAATACGCGGAGCTTTCGAATAATTTTCTTTCTTCGTTTCTGTCCTCGAAACGACGAGAGAGAGTTGAAGCGATTGACGCTGGCGTAGGCGGAAGTGACAAAAACTTTCCTACAACCGAGAGTCGAAAGAACGGTAGAAACGCGAAGACTCACGAGTCGAAAACGTCATAAAAGACAGGAGTAATTATTCTTATTATTCCTGTCATGAAGCTTGAAAAAATGTTAAACGTAGATGTTAATCCTTTTGTTCCTCTCTTGCCAATTTTCTTCGAATTTCGCTGCTTCTATTGGTTAACAGCTTGCAGTTAGTTTGCAATGGAAATTTATAAAATCTCTTCTCTTGACAATAGAAATCCGACACTCTGACGAAGTAGTGTTATTAGAAATTTCAATATTAAATTCTAGTTAATTATAATTGATATTTTTTTAGTGATCTATGAGGAACGATAATAAATACTTTATAAGTGAATATTTGTAAATGATCAACGAGAAGAAAGCATTTAAACTGTAGATCATGTTAGAATTCATCACATTAAAGATCATGTTGAATGTTGAACAGATATTGTGGCGACAAGGAAGAAATTTAATTGCGTCGATAAAATTGCAAAGTATCTTTCAACAATTGTTTTTTTTCTTTTCTATTCGTTTCATTCAAATATTCTGTATTGAGGATTTCTTACTCGTATCTCGTTCAATGTTTTCTATTCAGTTTTAATATTCGTGCCACAAATATATCCATCATTATCAAAAGCATAATAGAGAATGATATATATATATATAAAAAAATGAGAATGTAGTAAAAAAATCAGCCTGTTTTTGAAGTACACAGTATCATGTCAGAGTTAAATCGAAATTATCAAATACAAAAAAAAAAAAAAAAA